CGACGCTCTTCCGATCTCCCCAAAACCCCAAAACCCCACGAAGGTCTTATCTAAAAAATTGTGAATTAAGCCTGAAATAAATTAATTTCAAAACTATTGCAGCAGTGAAGAGTTGAAATAAGATTATTTTTATTCATATCAAATTTGAACTTGGTATTAAGTTTTAGCTGAATTGATTTCTCTTCAAGACATATTTCTATGGATTACTTTTAATCTTGAGATGAGCTATTTCATTCATGATATTGTTTTTATTTGCTAACTTTGGCAGACTTTTTTAAATCCCAATGTGAGTCCCACTAAGCTAAGCAGTGCTTGCGTTTCTTTTGAACTTCTTAAGACTGTTATTGAAGTTAATTTTCAGATCTCCCACCTGTCTATTCATTAAAAATCCACCTTAAGGAGATTACTGATATAAAAAGCTGCCTACCTTTACTATATTTTGTTAATAATCTTGATACTTTGGTGGCATTTGTAGCTAATTTTATGTCAAAATCGACTTTGATTGATTAGGCTATATTGTTTAGAACTATGTCTAGAAGTCAAGATTCATGCTCTACTGCGACTTTGAGAAAGATTGTCTCAGCTCAAGCTATAGCTATTTCTAGTTTAGAGTTTAATAAAGTTATTACTAATTAATTGTACTCTTCTAAGGACTATCTTTAAGTATATTATCTATATTTTAGTTCAAAGTTGACTAAGATTAAATATGCTTTCTTTAGAGAGTCAAGACCTTTTAAGCAGCTGCCAAATCTAGGATCTTTGGAGAAAGTTCCTGTTTGACTTAACTATACTAAGTTAAAGATTAACTTGTGAGAGTACTTGTAAGTACTATATTTCTTTTGTGTTTCTATTAATCTATAAATGAACTGAAATATTTCTTAGAATCTATCTTTTTGGGAGATTCCAAACTATTGTTAAAATCTATACTATGATTGGAATATGTGGTAGTCATCATAGTTTTTATTATTTCATTGTTATTCCCATTGATATCTGAAAATCCATTTGTAGCAGTAGGATTTATACTGTTGTCTCTTTTTTATTTTTTAGGAGTCTGAGTCACTCCCGTACCCACTTTAACTAATTCTTGGATCTTTTCATGCATTTGGATCTTAGAGTTCAGAAATTTCATTCCAAATAAGTTGGGATTCTTTTGTTTGTATATTTATTTCTAAACAAGGCTACCTGTGTTGGGGTCAATAACTAGCGGGCGATTCTTATTTAGTTCTTACAGATCTATCTGCTAGTAATATAACAACTATTGATTTTAGAGGTTATCATGCATTACTTTTCTTTTATCATTTTGCTCGAATTAGAAAATGGATTATTTTCTAGCTTTATAGATTTATTTCAATCCAAGTTATTTAGGAAAACCAAGTTAGAAGTTCTTTTTGCCAATACTTTTCTTCATTTTTTTCTCCTCTTCTGAAAGACCTAACTCATAGTCATGTTTAACAATTGGTACAAGCAGGGACTGTGAAGATCTATATTTATTTCCATCCTCAAGTTATTCCATGTTTAAACGCTTAGGTATTATTGAATCTTGACTGTTGTTTTTCAATGCTTTATCAGGAATGATTGGTGTTGATATTCTAATTGTGAGTTGATCTTGATTATAGGTTGATGTGCTTATCATTTTATCTAAAATAATTGATATTAAAAAAGAAAATATTTAATTGGTTTAAAAAAACCTCTATATACTGGCATACGGGGTTTTGGGGTTTTGGGG